CCCTGCCACGCAGCTGTTACAGGCAGCTTTGTGCGACCAAAAAACATCAAGGACCGCAAGGCAACTCCATCTACCCCTTACTAACAGATACGTTGGAAGCAGCAACCCAGAAGTCCCATCCCATAGTTGGCATAAGGGATCTGATGAAAATGAACCCTGGTGCATCTTGTAGATCGTGATGTGGACTGGTAGTCACATTTGAGCAGAGAGGGGCATGGTGCAAATAAGTGTGTTCTGGCTTGCTCCGACGAGCGACATGTACCACAACAGTTATGTCGCATGTGAAAACCTGCCGGTGGTCATTGTAAGGCTATCTATCGTGCTTACGAGGGCTAGGTCCAAGAACCATGCTTTCCCCCCTCCCTGGGTAGGAATGGAGTCCCGTACATCAACCAGGTTGGCAGTGGTGCTGGCGTGGCCTCGTTTGGCACACGGTTGAAGGGAGGCTAGGCAAGCTTCTCACAAGTGACAAACCACTCTTCCGCGTCGAGCGCTCGTGCCGTTCGTTGGGCTTCCTTCAGGGCGTCCTCTGTATCTTATCTTAGACAGTGGATATGCAAAGTAAGAACCCCAAGTGGGGGGTAAGGTACGTACGTCCGTACGTTAGTACGTCATATAGCACGTAGCTACGTTTTAGTGCGTATGCATGTACGTGACAACACGTATGTACGTACGTAAGTACCTACATAAGGACCTTAGTACGTCAGCACGCATGGGTGATGCTACGTACGTATGCCGAGGCATACAATTTTTCAAGGGGTGGCAGCGCATATGCATGCATGTATGTTTGTACACACAAGGCCCGGGGGCAGGGGCGGGTATGTACGTATGTTCGTACGTTAGTCTCTATGTATGTTTGGTATGTATGTTGGTACGCAAGTAAGTACATTCGTTAGTAGGGTAAGTATCTCACAGCACGTGTCGCTATACCTGCTATACCACGTTCCGACACCGACCCAAACTTCGGCGGGAGAGGGCAGGTTAGTACGTCATAGCACGAAAATGCACGAAACTACACTAGCACGTATGTATGTATGTGACAGCATGTATGTACGTACGCGAATACTTACATGAGGTTTAGTACGTATGTTAGTATGCGTACGTAGGCCGAAAAAAAATTAGGGGGGGGGCCTGCGCGTACGTATGTATGCTTGTGCGTACGACGTGCGGGGGGAGGGCGGGTACGTATGTATGTTAGTACTATAGCAGGTCGTATGTCCGTACGTAAGTACATACCGTAGGCTAGTATCTCATTATGTATGCATGTATGTATGTATGCATGTATGGCGATGTATGTATGTCTGTACGCAAATGTGCTTCTACGTACATGCCGTAGAATGTGTGTATCTGTGTAAACATGTATGTATGTACGTATGTGGGCATGTATGTATGTCTGCATGTATGCATGTATGTATGTATGTACAGTACGCCAGTACGTAGGTATGTACTTACGCAAATACCTCACGTACATGGGTACGCTGTACAATATGTTAGTACTTATCGGTATACGTACGCACGCTGAGAAAAATTTGAGGGGGGGCGTATGTACGTATGTATGTAGTAGTAATACGTTAGTAGGTACGTATGTACGTATGTCCGTGCTTACAAGTCTAAGTATATGTACGTACGTACGCACTAAGTACATAGCTAGGTATATATAGTTAGGTAGCTGTGTAGGCACGTACGTAGGTACATAGGTACGTGCCTCTACCGGGGGAGGGACCCGGTAGGTATGTACGTTAGCGTGTTAGTACGTTATATGGGGGAGGGCAGGTATGCCCGTTAGTATGTTTGTACGTTAGTAATTAGATATGTATGTACGTATGTCCGTACGTACGTGTAAGTACTTATATATAGGTAGGTACGTACGCACGTACATATAAGTACGTACCTCCCCCAACCCCCCCTCCCCGGGCCAAATATGTTTCTGGTATAGGGCGGGAAGTATGTATGTACGTACGTACCCGTTAGTATGTTAGGTATGTATGTACGTAAGTCTGTGCCTAGAAGTCTAAGTATATGTACGTATGCACTAGCTAGGCACATACGTACATACGGTACGTACCCCCTTCCGCAAAAAAGTTTTCGGGTAGAGGGGGAGGTATGTATGTACGTACGTACCTCGGGGCTCCTTATGGATCTCACATTTAACATTTATCCTAGTTTTTCCGCTTGGAGTTTAGGTCTCCGGAAGGCGCAAACCATGAATCCCAAATCCCAAAGACCCAAGCCCAAGCCTACACCGGACGAGGTGAGAGGAAGGGACCGGAGGGGAATGGGAAGGAAAAGGGCAGGAGAGCGAAAGGGAGGAGAAGGCAGAGCAGGGGAATCGAAAAGCAACCTTCCGAATTGATCAGGGAATCGGTGGATCCCCTCGAAGGGCGGTGGGGTTCCTGGAGCATGGACCCAATTGGCACGTGCAGCTTAAACCTAAACCCCCCGTTCTGCCTTCCTGACTCAGATAACGCGGCACAGTGCGCGGAGACCCACTCGGCAAAGATGTTCCTAGGCACCTGCAACAAGGATCCAACGCGAACGCCGCTAAGGCTTTAAGGCATCATGTTCTGTCGGCATGATGTCGCACCCGCAACACGAAGTCCATTGCAAAGCTGCGGCTCGGCTCCTGTGGCCGACCCACCAGTAAAGCCTCGAAAGGCTCGGAGAGACTCTGCATTGCAAAGGCCTGGGCGCTCTGGGACAAAGGGGATGCGGCAATGCCGGCAATGCATACTTGTCTCGCTAGCAAAGCATGTCCAACCGCTACTGTAGGAGCTGCCGTCACAATATGGAGAAAGTCGTCGAACGTTTCAGAGAACAAGACAAACTGGCATGCCTGTTTCAATGCTATGCGATGCCCTAACTTACCAATCTGTGCTTCGGTCGGTTGAGTCCTCCTCTCTGCCGCACTGAGTCCCCGATAGACAGAACATCGCACCCATGCATTACTCTGGCGGATGCCACAGCCCCGTGGAGCATCAAACCACTGCCAGTGAATTTTTTGAGTCATTCAGAAACGAACCAGCACTGTACCCAGCCAGCGGGCGCTGTCGCCACGCTGCGGATAGTTCCTGCGAACGACCTGGCGAAGCTTGCCGGGCATCACCGGGTGGTAGAAGTGTTTGAGGAGGCTCTCTCCACCTCGGCCGACGGATCCAATATTACCCCGATTCTTGACGAACTGTTTCAACGGCAACAGGGATGCGTTGCAAAGTTCAGCACCAAGGGGCCCAGTGTGCCGAAGAAGAGAACACACATTCGGAAGAACCTTGGCAGAGCAAAACCCAACCTCGACATGCGGTTCACAAGCGGCGCCGACACAGGAAGTCACGTCAGGAGACTTCCACGAGGCCCATCGCTCCACGATCGCTTCGCCTGGCGCAAGCTGGTCCAGCACCTTAGCCCCAGCCCACACTGCATATCACCACAGATCCATATCTCAAGTCTCAAGCAGTGGTGGGTTCTGGTTCTCAATGCGAGCCTCGAAGGTCTCATCCTTCAGCTCCGGAAAGGTGCCTAATAAGGAGGGCTGGAGCATCCAGAGCATACCAATCTCCGTCTGGGACATCTTATCCAAGGCACGCAAAGCCCATGCGCGAACCTCCGGTCGCACGAAGAGGTGCGAGGTGTCGGTGGGCGGGTCGCGGACTTCGATGTCCGTCATTGAGAACCTGTGGGCCGTCGACCCGATGCAACGATGCCCAACGGCACCCACTCACAGCCACGACAGCATGTTTGGATTCATGCAGCCTGACGAGATGTCCCCCCCATGGGCTGCTTCGGTGCAGAATTGTTGTTCTGCGGTTTTGCCTTCCGAAGGAAGCGGAAGGAATAGAGAGGAAGAGAAAGACGAAGCACGAGCAATGGCAAGCAAAGCGCCTGCCAGCCGGCCAGATGCCAGCAATCTGCCAACCCTCATCCTCAAGCAACGTCGGAACGAAGTGAAACCAGTCCTGGCTAGGTGCCACGGCGGCAGCAACGCGGACAGCGGCCATGCAAAGACGGTCGTCATGTGTCTAGAGACGACAAGCTCACACTTCCAGAAGGGCTCGGAAGCCGTTCCTCCCTGCTACAAGCTGAAAGCTCCCGCAGTCTCCTCGACACTATGTGGACGGACCATCGCAAAAAATTCTGCTGTGTCAGCCCTGTGGGTCACTTGGGCCATCGGCGAGCGGGACGGAAAGCTGTTGAAGCTTTTGAAGAGCTGCAGATTCTGCAGCAGATCGAGCCAGGCCTTGAAGTCACCGGACACACCACGGCTCCTTGAGCCGCAAAGCGCGTCTCGACAAGCCATCTCCTTAAACTCCTTAAAGCCAGTTCGGGATTCGGGTGCCCGGCATCTCAAACACCAGCTTTGGTGGTTCCACGGTACACGGGGCATCCGCCACCGCAAGCACCGATGATCCTCTCTACATTTCACCCCCAGCAGCAAGTCGATTAGTCAGTGGAAACGGTTTTGCAGAAGAGCCCATGTCCTGGAATAGGGTTGGACCTGAAAACACGAATCTGATGTGACATTGCTGTGAGGATGCACAAACACCAGCATCCCGGAGCTCATGTCTGCCACAACTCCGCTACAACTCCGGACTCTCACGAATACTCAGTTCTAAGTGCTGCAAAGCCACATGGAGAGATATTGCTCTCCTGAGTCAAAAAACGGCATATGACCAAGACAGGGGCACTGCCAAACGGCCAAACAACGCCAAACAAAGCCAAGGCTCGGCTGCAGAAGCAGAAAAGTTGGAAGCTTTCTTGTGCTATCTTTTAAGCTTCAAGGCTTCAACTTGAGCAAAACGAGAAAAAAAGAACGGACGGTCGTTCGCGATCATCAAGCACCAATCGTACCAAGAGAGCCAGCCGGAGCCTCGGAACGCTTCAAAGAAGTCGCCACTAAATCCCACGGAAGTCCCGATACTTAACTCCTGGCTTGACGCCCCGCAGACCGCCATCGCAACTTGAAGTCTTCAAAACGAGCCCCTGAAGACACGTATTGGGGCTGGCACTCCATACCGTGACCTGCGATCAGTCAAGGATGTTCCGTGCACTAAGCAAGCTCATGACGTGTTTTCGAGGTGAGTGCAGTGGCTGTCCCATCCTACAAATCACACCAAGTTTCTTGGTTTCGGTCTCGGCACCCAGCAATGGCAAATGTGTGGTCCGCACCACAGGCTATCCTCTGCCTTGTGGCATCACAAGCAGTATGTTGAACTTCCTCCAAGCCCTTCATGTGACAAAACGTTCCAGAACACCCCCGGCACCGCAAATGCACCCTCAGGGCTTTTGTCTGGGTCAGGCGCACGACCACGCGAAATCCTTGATGAACGGGAAATTTCACCTGTGCAAAAGCAAAGAAGCTAAGTTACAGGGGTAGACAGCATGCTGTGTAGAAAGTAACGAGGAAAGCTGTTTATGCCGTTTCTCTCCAACTGCTTGTCCATGCTGTAGGAACTTCTCGGGCACTTCTGTTGAGCGCACCCGGTATAAGTGCAGGTGGAGGAACCTAGCGGACATAAAACGCCGTGCTTTAGAACCCATGAACCGAGACATGGCCAGGTAGGACAGGCATTTCTGAAGAGTTGCGGTGCCTTGGCACTGGAACACCTCGAACGACAACAGAAGCTAAGTATGAGAAGCACAGCACAAGTAGGCTGCAGTTGCCGTGAGCGCATGGGGAGCACGGAAGCAACGACCAACTGCAGCTTGAACTCGCGCATCCGCTAGTTCGGACTTGCGACGTTTCGGCAGTGCAGGAGCACACTCTCGGACCTCAAGCCCAGAGTGTACATGCCTTTGTGGCACTGGCTCTCAAAATTGGGGGATGTCAAAGAGTCAAAGGAGAGAGTGAGAGAGAGTATCGGGTGGGAAACTCACCCAGTGTTCTGCATTCCTGCAGCAATTCCCTGGATGCTCACAATCATGGCATCGGCAAGCTCCTCGGAGGTCTGCTCGCCGGCTTTGCGCAAGCCTTATCCAAAGGTCATCTGGCGAGGATTAGACGCCTGCGACATCTGCGACATGTCACTTGACGCGTCCAGGCTGCGCTGCAGCACCTCAGCCTGAATCACGTGAGTTGCATCCAGATACGGCCTGAAGTCATGCGGCAAGATATCCAGGACTTGTCCCTAGGTCTCGTCTCGTCCTGGCCTCCGCATTCCGATTGCCAACTTCGTGCTCGGCTCCCCGGATAGAACCTCCTTCTCCTGCTTGACCTCCAAGCTCAGCTCCCTATCCAAGAGCCACCAAAACTGCACAAGAACCCACCTGCAGGACTGAAGTGGTTGCCTGAGCCAATCGTTGGCGGAGATCCTGGGCAGGAGTAAGAAGCTTCTTCGGCTCGGGACCGTATGCAGTGACAGCCTGACCCAAGGGCTTCAGCGCGTCGTCGCAAATCTTCGAGTCGTAGTGAGCTGCCTCGAGAGGCTGAAAGGTCTCTGAGAGGTCTCCTCCAACGCTCCCAACCAAAAAAGAAGTCACAGAAGGAGAACACCACGTGCAGTCATTCGTTCAAAGCCTCGCAACTATATGTTCATCGGCCTTGCCTAGCTCAATGTCGATAAGGTCCAGCATGGATTTGAAGAATGGCCACTTCGAGTACATCGACTGGAGGAGCCTATGAAACGACCACAAAGAGCGTCTCACACAGTCTTATGAAGGCTCAAGCTTCCAATGCTTTCCCAGCACTGCAGCATGCGCGCAGGTCACGGGATGTAGTTGCGAAGCTAAGTCGAAGCTGTGTGGCTCTAGCTTGCCATCCGTGATGAACTTGTCCAAGGCAGCGCCGTTGCCTCAAACACAAGGCAAATCAATTGGCTTCACTTTTGTAAGTCCTGCATGTTCCAGTGCAAATCAGAACAAGCCACCCAACCAGACCGGCAGCAGAAGTCGCGTCTGTGTCCATGCGAAGATCCAGGGAATTGCCCTGGAAGCACCGGGCGTTTCGTCTGATGCGAGGTTTAAGGGCAGACTGCTGCAATTAAGCTTAGCAGATTTGAGAAACTCCGCTGGGCCCCCATGCAGTAAGAGGTTCTGTTCTGTTCCCCCTCTCAATCCCTGCATGAGTGACCCCCCGCCCACACCTATGCCCGACACAAATTTCCTGCATTTGATTCCCAGAACCGCTCTGGCCTTCGCTCCCTTCGCTCGTCTTTCCCTTTTCCACTGCGGCCGTGCCCGAGCGGGCCGAGGAGGACGACGCGAAGCATTTTCAAAGCTTACGAACACCTAGCGGTCCAAGCACCAACACCACTAGGAACCTGTCCCAGAGCACCCCGGAGGTTCCCAAGATCAGCCCAAGAGTTCAAAGCGCACACTACACTATCGCAGGAGCACGCAGCGGGGCGTGACGGGAGCACGATTTTGGGAGGCGTGAGCACTGGTGCACCCAAAACATGCAGCACGATTTCCCGAAGCGGACATGGACGGAACTGTGGTGTTTGCCACACACACACACGTATCTTGAGCGATTCGAAGGCAAAAATGAACGCGGGATAACATGGGACTGTGGCGGGAGCACATTCCAAGATGCGCACAGCGCTTTGGCGGGAGCAAGATTCATGAAGGTCGTGAAAGCTTTGGGATTTACAGTGAAATAGAACGCGGGTCTAGGCGAAAATATCTACCGCCATTTACGCAGGCCAGCCAGCCAGTGTTGCCACACAAACATTGAAAGCACAAAGGCACAAAACACATCGAACTTGCCGTACCAAACCAAGTGGCCTCAGCGTGTCGATTCCTCCGTAGTTGCGTCGCTTGGCTGGCCTTGAGCCAATATTCATCCTCAGATGCTGACAGGGACCTGATGTTTTGGCTTGGCAACCAGAAGTTGAGATTCCAAGACATGCGCTGGAAAAGATTTGGGATCCTCTTTTTGAGCCGGAGGCTGAAGCTGCCAAGTTTCTGTGCTAGCTCTGCTGAAGGGGTGGCAGCATGGAAGTACCTCAGGATGGCCACATATGCGGTGAGGGCTCGGGTTTCACAGTCTCCAGCTGTTTTGCCTTCGGGCCTGATGATTTGCCAAGCAGCTTCACAAATTGATCTTCCGGCGAGCGGAAAACTGTTGTCTGGTAATCCTGCGGGACAGAACAGCAAAAAACCAAGGTGGTGAAAGTGCAGAAGTCTGGTAGAAACCCGGGCCGCCCTGGCAAACGACATCAAAGCAAACGCATCAAGCCAACTGAAAAATCAATGCTTTCGACCCCGAGATTCCCCGAGCTTTTTGCATTACCAAGTTCGGGCGATGCGAAAACGGAACATCAGGTGGAAACATGAGAGCACAAAGGACACAGAACAGCGAGACATCGGAAAGCATGAAACACTGGGACGTCAAAACACAGAAGTACCTGAGACATATGGAGGCCAAGCTCCTCGCGTTTCCGTGTTGTGGGGAGGAGGCGAAGCTAATCAAGACGACAGCTCGCCTTCACGTCGAATGCCGAAGAGCGCATTTTGCAAGGCATCCAACTAGAAAGCATCGCCGGCCCGTGGGAAGGAGGACGGTTTTGGCAGTGTGCGGCTGTAGCATCCACACCACTGCACGCCAAGCGTGCTTTCGGAAGATGTGTTGCTCAGGGCTCTTCGGGGTGAAGATGGACCACACGATCAAGAAGTTACGAGGCTCCACCAAGCCGTCTCAGCCGACCAACTGGCTTTTCTAGCGACTCTCGAGCGCGACAGAAGAGGAACGTCGGAGCCAAAACAAGCCAGACATCATCCACGGAGGCTTAGCCTTTGCACTGTGCAAAGGTGAAGCCCTTGCAAAAAGACGCGCTCCAGGCTTGCACGACCGGGCATCTTGCTAGCTTGTCCAAGATGGAGAACTCACGTTGAGGCTGACAGAGTACTCGACGCTGGGCGTTGTGTCCTCTCTTTTGCCCTTTACCGACATGGTGAAAAGTGAGTTTTACACAAACTGGGAAGCGCTCGACTCTGGATAACAAAGTAAGTGGAAATCCGCAATATTGGTGCGGCGTGGGAAATCCAAGAAGTGGGCCGGCACTCAGACTCAAGAACAGCCCAGCTTTCTCTTCGCAGCACCACATGCAGGAGCTTGCTACCCGGAAAGGGGACCGACTTGAGTCACTGTGCGATATCGGCGGCTTCCTCTTCAACTGCACAAGTAAAAGCTCATTGTCATCGTCGCCCACACCTCACCGTGCCAAACTGTAGCTGTAAGTTGTGGCAACGGCTCGAACTATGTGTGAGAATTGCTTTGGGAGAGAGAGAAAAAGAGGGAGCGAGATGGAAACTGGCACTTATTTGTTTTTGCTCCCTTGCGCAGCTCACGCGGTTGTGGTGCGGCCATCCAGGGCCGTGAGATTTACCCACATCGTCGAGAAATCGTACCCACCCCGCCCTCGGGGACCTAGCAGGTGTGACGTCCCGGAAATCACTCAAAGACGTGAAACCTTGAAAGCACAGGACTCAACAGTTTTCATTCAGCCTCTTCTATAATTTAGCCTGCATCCCGTCATCCGCGCACTACCACTGGGGCCTACCCAAAGGGACCGATGGACTGGCTGAGTGTGGCGATGCCCGCAGATGAATACTTGCGGAGCAGTGCGCCAAGAAAGAACGGTAGTGCCCATTTAACCGCAACACCGGATATTCCGGCGCACACGGAGTTCGGGCAAGCACCACAATCCAACAACATCCAGGTCTTGTCGACCAGCCCAGCATGCATGTGAAACTCCAACAGGCTTTCATCACACCCAATTGGATAATTCCCCGCAGCCGGCAACCAGCAACGGAGGCACACCAGAACTCAGTGCACCAATGGAAAAGCACGCTCCACCGAACAACAGTCCCGGCTTTGCGCCACGGACAGTCTTCGCGCTCTGATCCGAAGGTTCGACAGTCACTGCAGCTACCCGTCTGCGTCGGGGGGCGTTGGGCGGTTGCCTCGCCGTGTGTCGTCTGCTTCTTCCCTGTGGTTTGGGTGTACTGTGGCTGCTGCGGCTGTGTGATGGGGCTGTGTGTCCTGTCACTTGGTGGACGGGCGTCGTGCTGCTGCTGCCGCGGTTGGTGGTCGGTGGTCTGGTGATTGGGTGGTTGTGGAGGTTCAGTAGTTGTGCAAACGTTGCTCTGTCTTTTGCATGCTGTTCTGGCATCGGTGCCCCCGCTGCTGGGCTTCCTCGCTCGCCTGCTGCATGACGGTGTCCCAGTGTGTTCCTCATCATCTTCGTCGAGGTGCACCCTCCTCCTCTCTTCGCCGGCCCCCCCTGTGCCCCCCCGGCTGTATGGGTTCCCCCGCGTGGTGTCCTCTGGGTCTGGCCGGTGCACTGTCTGCGTGCTTGTGCGTCGCTGCAGCTGGGTGCTGTTTTTCTGTGGCGTGGGGCGGCGTCGGCTTGGGGCTGCTCCGGCTTGGGGCTGCTCGCTGTTCGGCTTGGGTGTCGGTGGCGGCTGCGGCCTGGCGGGCTGGGTCGGTCCATGTCCTCTTGTGTTGGTTGCTCGCGCTGGGGAGCTCCTGTCGGGTGGCCGCTTGTGAAGTGCACAGGTCCTGCTCTGAGTCTATTGGCTCGCTGGTTGCTGGGTCGAGCTGGCTGACAGCCGGGCGGCCGGCACTCACTACCCCCCCAAGCGCCCCCATGACTGGGAGGGCCCCCTAGCAAGGAAAGAGAAGAAAGAGAGACATCACGCTTTTGTACCTTTCGGCAATGCACAATGACTGAGTGTTGTGACGGCTGTCCCTGCTCAGACGCCCAGTCTCACAAAGCGGACAGACACGGCAATTTCACAGCGGACTCGTGGCCACGCTGTGGCGCAGTCAGTGGGCACCTCCGTAAGAATGGGCAGGCCATTCGGAGGCCACCACACACGATATCAGCGGGGGGGGGCTCAACCCTCGCAAGCAAACCCCACGCCACATGGAGGGGCGTACCTCCAGACGCCCGGCGCAGCAGCAGCCAGCACAAGCAACAGACCCGTGGCACGACTCACCACCATGGCCATGGCCACAGCCACCGCCGCAGCGACAGCCGCCGCAACAGCCGCAGCCAGTGACGTCTCAAGTCCAGCAGCCGTCGCAACACCCGACGGCGCAACAAGACATGGCATCATGGCAGACTATGGGCACTACGCGCCACCCTACGACCCGGTGGGGGAGGGGGAGGGGGAGGGGGGCGAGATCGAGGAACCGGTACCAGGACAAACAACAAGAATGCAGAGAGGATGCTCTGCTGCACCGCCGAGCATGAACTTCTCGAGACGCTAGGACGACGAGACGACGGAACACACCACGAAAAGAACGCCAGACGACCGGGACGCACGATGACTAGAACACAGGGATCGCTGCTTCAGTACTGCAATGGAGCACGCACAGACCAAGAACAAAGAACATCTGTAAGAGTCCTAGACTCATTACAGCCATTCTATGAGGCGCTTTCGGACATTTGCCTTTTCGAAACTGTAGAGACAAGGAGGAGACCTGTACGTGTCGCAGTTTCGCTAGCCAAGCCCTCCTTAGTCCTTGGCGGAAAGATCTGCCAGCTCTTCCATAGCAGCCCGGTGCTCCGGACACGGTAGAGGCGGAGGCGTAAGAATATGTTCCAGCACCGCCACCTGGCCACTGAGCTCTTGGACAGAAACACTGGCTGCAAGATGCAGCCCAAGCCACTGCATATCGCTCCATGGTGTGCTCTGCCACCTCTGGATTCATGAAGTGCCTCAGCATGTCCACCAGGCAGGTCTGGACTTGCGTTTCTGCACTTCATCAGACGTGGTTTCGGACAAGGTGCTGCTGAATCATCTCACCTTGCACTGTGAGACGTAAGTGGCGAGTGATGGATCCCGACGGCTGGTTCAGAAGCCTCGCGTTTGGCTGGGTCGTACGTCCGCCGGTGCTCTTCTTCTTCCCGGACCTCTCTCTCTCTCTCCCACTTTCTTTCTCTAGAGCGCCTCAGATCCTGCACAACAAACCCGACAGGAATCGACTAAAACCGTTTCCAAGACACGTGAGGTGAGGAGGCCCGCCCCCGCGGCTGATCGTGCCGCCACGGCCGTGGAAGAATGTGACCTCCACTCCATGCCTTGTTTCCGGATGGACGCATCCCTGAGAGTCCCTGGATACTCTAGACTCTAGTGGCTTGGGCACTGGCTTCTGGCCGACTTCCACCAGCTTCTCCATGGCGACCTTACCGAAACTGGAGACCACAAGCTGCATCAGCAAGTGGATTCATGATGCAGCTAAGGCTAAGGCATGTAGGGCCCAGGTGGACGCGAACTTCCCAGCATCCTGGCTTGAGACATCGCAAACCTTTATTCGAAGCTATTCCGAATAAAGCGCTGGATGCGGCCTCGAACAAAAGTCTAGACTCCAGGACCAGAAACGAGCCACTGAAGTGCCTTCACGGAGTCGGAGTAGCCCAGCATGACCTTTTGCTTACCGTCCCATCACTTGCAGAGAGAGAACTTGAACCTTCTCCGTGGCTTCACTACACCATGCTTTGCGTGCCGTCGAACACCCCGACCTCCTGCTTGCCGTTAACGTGGTCCCTCGGCTGAGTCATGACGTTGAATGCCAAGGAACTTTGCACCAGTGGGCTGCTACTCGATCGTACTACTCTCACTGCACAAATTGACGAGGTGCTTGTACCAAGGAATGCCCAAAAGTGAATCCATCACGCGAGGTGCTGCCTGCAGGTCCTCCCTGGTCTCGAACCTCGCTCGGGGCTTGGGATGCTAACATTTAAGTTCGCATTCGTTCGTCGATTCGTTTTTTTTCTAAATTGTTTGATATTTCCCTAATTTCGTATCTCTGTCTGTGGACGCATGCGGCTTCGCATGCTGGCCCATCCATCGAAGTTTGAAGCAAAGCACCACATCGCTTTTGCAGCATCGCCTGATGCTTGGAAGCAGCCGGGCATTGTTTTCCCCATCGATCAGCCGAACAGTTTGCCCTGTGTGTCAGCTCTGGTTCAAGAAACCCACCTCTTTTCCCCTGCACACCCGAAGCAGATACTGCCAAACAAGGGGAGTTGCTGCAGTCGTTGCTGGCCCGTCTGACCCTCTCTCTGGTTCTCCCGAACCTCTGGCACTATCCACAATGTGCTCTTCTAAGCTCATTCCCGGCCCAGCAGTTGGCTCCCGGTGCACATCGAACTGGGCAGGAGATACATGGATTCGACATGTTCAGAGCACAGGTCCCTTTAGCCACAAAGTCAGATCAAGACCTGTTGTGGCCCGTTCTGGGTCAACAGTTCGCAGCAAGTCACAAGGGGCTGATGCGCATGAACTGCTTCACGCCGCCGATCTTCTGCCTGTGACTGTGCTGCTCATCTTGGCACCACAAGCAGATGATGCAACCTACGAGACCATCTACCAATTCTGGAAACCCAGCTGCAGCAAGCAAACAGCCAATATGTCTGAGGTGGCGCGAGACATCCTGAGTTGAGACGCTGGCGCTGGCTCACTCCGTACATGCAAGGCGGCTCCAGCTTGCCGTGAAATTCATCGACCTGCAGCTGCGCGGCGAAATGCAATAGGCGCCCACAGTCTCTGGAGGAAGGTCTGCGATCGTCCGGAACCTGGCACAAAGCACAGATCGAGAGGAATGTCACCTCAGGCCTCACAACACCAACTCGTGCATGAACATTGCAATTTTTGTTATATCACATGCCATGGAACGTCTCAATGATTTCCTGAACAATGTCGCCCATTGGCATGTCCGGTGACCTTCAGATTTGCAGTTGCCCAAGGACGCGGCAGGAGAGGTGCCCTCCATCTACAACTTGAACATCAATGGGAAGCGCAAGCGTTAGCAGGAAGACTGCATTAAAAGAAACATGCAATGTGAAGTTGAACTTCAAGATCAACCGCGACAGCCTGAGCTGACAAGGGGCAGGAGAGGACGCCGGGACTGGATCTCGTCAAGAAGCCAATCACACTTCGCCTGCTCCGTCCAAGACGAGTAAGACCTAGCAGCTGGCAACTCAAGGACTTTCCGGATCATCCTACAAACACTATACTCGCAACAAGCACAGAAGTGTTGCTGAATTAAGCTTCCCCGTCCAGTGTGTTTACAAAGCTTCCCAACGTGCATCCGAAGATCCCCAGCCCCAGGTATTGAGTGATGGCGTTCATGACCTCCTCGTGCCTGCGCAATGTGTTTGCATCAGCTAAGCAACAGAGAAACTCTGTTCAACCGGGTCCGGTGCATCTCAAATCTCAAGAATCGCAAGCATAGGTGATTCGGCTGGCAGACGATCCCTGTGGCCGCTAGGCATGGAAGCCTGCTCATCTACGCCACCGCCCTCAGGGGACGGCCTGTCGGACTCCTGCCGAATGTCGAGACAGGCCAGGCTGACGCCGAAGGTGCGGACTCTGCGGATTAGGTCCAACAGGCGACCGTTGGCCAAGACCTCGCCGGAGGGCACTTGCCATGCCCTGCTCGTGGCTGCGCAGCAAGATAGATCAGCCAAATCAAACGTCTATTAAACTCTGGACCGACGATGGCGAAGCGCGACGGTCTGGGTTCGGCGCGACTTCGATGCGAGTCATTGGGGCTTCAGTGTTTAGAGCTTACACGTAGAAATGGCAAAGCACCAAGACAGCAGAAAAAAATCGAGGCTGCCTGGCCTCATCGCCCGTCGTCACTAGGGATCGGTAAACAATCTCCAGAGGCCGTGCGAGTTCTGTGGTGCCTTTGCATTAGCCAAACGACATCGGGAATTTCACGAGAATTGTCAGCGCAGGCCAAGACAGACAAAAGCCAACGATTGACCAACATCAGCAACAGTAGCTCACTCCCCAAACTGCAACCCCGTGGCTCTTGTATATCTCTGATTCGAAGTCCTTGTCCACTGGCTTGCCAAGGTAGAGGCTCTCCATGGATTTTTTTGTGCGGAAGAGTCGGCGGCGAACGCTCATGAGCATCCTGTTGCGGCTTGGGACATATGGAGCTCCGTGGATCTAGGGGCTCATGAAAACACCCTACCCCAACAACAATGAGCGCAGCGACCGGCGGTAGGGCTCGTCGGGAGCTACGCCATTGTGGAAGTTGAAGTGGACACCGCAGCGAGTGTCTGGAACGCAGACCTGGCAAAGAGGTGGCGCATTGTGCGAACTTTATGTGGCGTTTAGTTGCTGGCCTTGTCCTTGGGCTTCGTTCGAAATCTAGGACCTAGGAGTTGACTCTATGGTTTATCAGGAACCCTTGCCCTTGAAGAATAGCCCAAAATTGGCGCAACCATTGCTCCTGGAGTGACTCTTGGGCGTGTCAGGCATGGTAATACTTAGCAGCGTCAATTCCACGTTTATTTCCGTTGTTGTTGCTGGTACTGATACTATTAACTACCACTATTACACCTAGGACTGCTGAAAAAATGCGCACATCCAGAATCAACCATGCGCAAATCCGCAAAATGCATTCTTACTCCGATGTCCTATTCTTAACCTTAGTCTTCCTCCTGCTCTTAATCTTGATCTTACTCTTGCTCGTACTCTTACTCGTACGATCACGATTACCACTACCAGCACCAGCACCATTGCCACTACTGTCACTTTTGGTCTGTCCCGGGGGGTTTCCCGGGAGCTACGTTGGCCCAGGACGACTTCGCAGGTTGGAATTTGAGCCTCGCTTTGGAACTTCGGGTCTGATGGGGGAGCGGGGTGTGGGGGGGGAGGGGGGTAATAACGACATGACACATGATGACGAAATGATGATGACGATGTAGTGATGACGATGTGATGATGACGACATGATGTTGACCACATGACGACGACGACATGAGGATAACGACATGGTGATGATGATACGATGATCTGATGATGACATGAACATCACATGATGATGTCGACGTGCTGATGACATAAACATGACATGATGATGACGACCTGCTGATGATGACGTGAACATGACATAATGATGATGACATCATGGTGATGACATCATGCTCATGACATGATATAAACCCCAAAAATTCGCCAAAACTGAGACGACAAAAACACAGAATCCCGATAGTGGTGTTGTTATTGGTTGTGTTTCGGTTGAAGGTTCTGGGTTTATTGTGTTGATGCCTGAAAGAAAACATGCAAACACTGGAGGTTTTGTCGTGTGCGAGTGCGGAGAAGTACTTCAGCACATCAAGAAAACTATGCGTTTCACGGTATATTTGCAACATACAAACAAAGTCGCTGGCACTTGCAGCACTTCGCACACCTCGAGAAAGACAGATATTGTCGATAGAAGTGTACGAAGTGCTGCAAATACCGGTGAATTCGGTGCTCGCATGCGAATACACCATGCCCAGGGTTTCGCGATGCTTCCAGTTTTGCTCCGCACTCCCAAGACAAAACCTCGAGTTTTCGAGTGTCTTCCTTGTTAGAATGATGCCTAAACCTTGCTTTCTAACATCTTCGCGCGCGCTCACTTCACAGCTATAAGCACGTGCAAGGACAACATGTTCAATCACTGGTATTTGCGGTACTTTCGATCTCTTGCAACAACTTATTTTGTTATACTGCCCCATGGTATCCGGGAAACCCCCAGGGATTTGCCTCTTACTATCAAGACTTCGACTGGAGCGGGACCTGTTTGACCGAAGCTGTGAAGCTGCGAAAACCCTCGAGGCTGCCGAAGCTATCGGCAGGGCTCCGTCAGCATTATCAAGCACTGCTTAGGACGCACGACATCGAACTTGCAAAGGGGCTTGGGCCAGTAAGTCCAAACACAAGAACTTGTGAACAAGACCGCCAATCACCAAACCCTCCCACAGCACGCAGTCGTGGCCGTGGCCGCAGCCGCGGGCTTGGTCGTGGTTAGTGGGTGGTATTGGTACTGGTAATACTTGTTGTTGGAGTAGCAAACACACAGATATTACCATAGTTGCTGATTTACTGCAATTCTGCAATTGCATAAGCAGAATCATTAGCATCATTAGGGCTGTGGTTGCAACTTGTAGCACTGTCATGGGATGTGATGGTGCCGCTGTCATAGGCTGTGACCTGTGAAAATCTCCTTGGCTGTTCTTCCCGTCGTCCCCTCGGCCTTGTCACCGTCGAAACTGGGAGCCGGCCACATGCTTGCCAAACTCTTCAACTCCTGCTGCAGCTCCTGGCAGCCGGCACTTCCCCCACACACGACTCCGGCTCTGCGACATCTCGCCGGGTAGAGAACGTGCGCGTGGCGCAAAGGCATAGTCACTAGTCAAAGCGAGGGGGGTGGTGATCGGTAGATCAGATGTTAGCGAGGACGGCGCCTCACTGGTGGCACCCGTCATTGACAAGTCGAAAAGCAAGGCATCGACCTGCAGTCGTGGAAAGAGTCTGGGCACGTCAGGCTCTCTTCGGGCTTGAGGCTGTACATCTTGAGGCTTTCTGCCCGGCCTCAGTGTAGTAGAGTTCGGCGATGCGCCACCGCAGAAGAGCATTAACTTGACGAGTCGTCTTGGCCTGAATTGTTGTGCATTCTCGAACGGCGCTCAAGGCATGAAAGTCGTATGCCAAAGCCCTCCAGAAACACGAGAAGAGCTTCAGCAGCACTCAAAATGTGATCCTGGAACAATTCAAAAGCATTCCGGGAGCAAGCGTGGAAACCGCCATCCTCCAGTTTTGCCTTGTGCCAGGACTTGCCCGAAAAACGGTTGGCGTCACTTGGCGATGATGAGCTACAGCTACATCCCGTGCCTACGCGTGATGAGGCAGCCCTTCACCTGAACTGTGTGTCGGGTCAGACCTACAGCCAAAAGCCTCTGACCAGCCTGAACAGGAGGGGTGCACAACACCTTTGCAGGTTGCTTTCTCTAGATGCCGAAGCATGTGGATGATCACGACATGCGGTCAATCTCGAAATCCTGTTGAAGGCTTCTTTACGTCATTGCTACTGCCGGTGTGATTGACCATTATCAAACCCAGATGCTGTTACAAAATCTCCGTTTACTGGTACGACAATCTGCCAATCTTATCTATCGATGGTGTGAGGTGGGGTTGGGGGTGTGGCGTGGCAGTACCTCTCGGCATTGTACCTAATGGCAAAATCAAGCAACCGCAAATGCCTTTCAACACTCTCCACTTTACCAACACCAGTGAAAGCATCACGCTGGCATGAACCCTGGGGACAGGTGCTGGAGCATGCATGTCCTTCTGCTGCAGAGGGCCGTGACATTGGGGTTGCCATCCCGATCGCCGCCCATCCAGGTACTCATCTTGATGACCTTCAAGGAGCGTTCAAGACACGTCTGTCTTGTCCCTGCACCCACCGTCTGAGCCAGAGGGCCGAGGCATCGTAGGGCAGCGCTGGCATCCCACGGTGCTTCAAGCAGCGGTCGATACGTCGGTAATGCTCCGGCACTGCCGCCCAGACCGCATCCTTGCGAAACTGAGTCTGAGGAGGCTACGGAAATACTATGACAATGTGGAATCCTCGATCACCAGCATTCCATTGCGTGCCTCACCTCAGTACATGTGGTCGCGAAAAGATCCCTCGAAACTCGATTGGTTATTTGAAATGGTTCTGGGACCTTCCGCAGTCGGTCGGTTGCGCCGGACAGCGTTGGTGCGCCAGCAGCTCCACTGAAGAGCCTGCAGGGACAGCGGAGGGCCTGGTTCCAGACTAATTCTGGCCCCTGGCCCCGGTCCCTTTTGCCTGGATCTTAGCCCGCAGCTCTTCTTGCTCACCGGGCGTAAGGGAGTCCTTGGCATCGTGCACCTGGCACCAGAACTCGCGGACTGCGAGCACGAGCCGGAAGACCGCGAGCAGAGTCGCGCCTTGAGAAGCTGCGAGATGCTCTCGTGCTTCTTCAGATTGCTCCTGCGTTGAGCCTGGCGCTGAAGTCGGCCGTGGCCCACCAAACCTTCGTCCCTGCGATTTCCCAAGCCTGCGTCGGATGCGCGGTCAAGACGAGCTCGATCTTGTGGTGCACAAGGGCCTCCCGGCTTGCAACCGCAAAAGATCACACGAGAAATTGTCGCAGTGAAACAAGCCACGGTCCGGAGTCGGTTCGGAGTGCAAAGTCACACCAGGACCACTAGGAAACCTGCGGATCGCTACGAATAAAGCTTCACGATGTGCATAGGACCAATCCCGACACGCTCAGAAAAAGATACGAACACAGAGGCAAACGCGAGTCGCGAGTATGAGAAGGCCTGTCAACATGGCGAAACGGGAAGGTGTCTTCGGGCACGGAACTCAGTTCATTAACCATCCCGCCTCCCGGATTTGTGCATAGGTGATGCCCTCTGCCTTAACAGCTCTTGGCCCACCCGCTCCCAATCAACGGGGTTCTTTGTCAGTTGATCAGACAAAGCACGGTCATCTTGTTAAAACAGCCGCGAAAAGTCTTGATCGCGGTGTCGCCCGGGTCCTGGTGCAAATAGCGGTGCGCCTAAATGCAAATCACCAAAAGAAAGCAGCAATGGTTGACTCTTAATGACTCTTGTGACTCTTGTGTTCATGAACTGCTAGGCCCCTTGAGACAATGTGGACTAAGGAGAAACGCCCCAAAAGACAGAGCATGTCTTAAGGCTCCTGGAAGTCCATGGTCACGAAGCTTTTCAGGGCACCCTTGAACGCTCGCAGCCGTTGATGAGACTCTGCAAGGTTCGCTTGGACCAAGATCTCCTCGTACAGATTCCGTGACGCAACACATGCCTCAACAGGACATGACGCGAGGCAGGATGGTGATACGTGCAAGGCGAGTTTGTGTGTTCACGTCGTGGGGCCTCTTCACATGTACCTCACAGTGCTGAAAGAAGAGACACGGAGAGCGGACATGCACAGATCATGAGCCACAGTTTCCAGCAACAGCCGGAGACTCAAGTGTGGAACCCCCCCCCCCCCGCTCCCCGGGTCCATCAGAACCCTCGCCGACACCAACCTGAGCTGAAGATGAGCAGTCTATTGCATCCGATGGCATGACTCGCTCCACTCCCACCCTCCTTCGGCCGCAGCCGATATACTGATATACCGGCTGGAGGATGGTAAGATGATTGCCAGATTGGAGGTCATCGAGTGGCAGAGAGGTTGCATCCATCTGCTCGGCCAAAGCGACCATCTTCGAAAATCGCTCCTGGGCGCTGGAAGGGAAATGCGGGCTAGAAAAGAAGAACAGCAGTAAGTAGGCTCGCCTCAGAATCTCTGCACCATGTGATGCCCCGCATTCTGCTGCCAGGTTTCTCTGTCTGGATTCGCACTGTAGTCCTGCGGACGCCGGATGCGAAAAACACCGAGTCTGCTGCGGTCCAAGCTGTCTTGGAAGAGGTTCGTAAAGTCCCGCATAAAAAAACACACCGCAGAACTGTTGAAGAAGAAGCCGCTCCATTCTCTCACCTTATCTTGTTCTAAACAAATCTGCCCAGACCCTGCCCTGGCTCCTGGACCTGCTCCAGGAGGCAGATGGCCATGGGTGGAAGGGCTGCTGGCCCCTCTGCGCAGCAGGACGAGAGTCTTAGGAGCGACTCTACCCGAAGAGATCCGCCCAACCTCGACCAGGCAGTGCTCTTGAGCGGTCTCACCTGCATTCTCTTTCTTATGTACAAGCAACACCAACTTCAACTCTGTGCTTGCTTCCTGGCTTCCGGCCGGGTTGCCAGTCACTGACGGATGTTCATCGCTCGAGACCCCCTTCGCGCGGTTAGCCTAGCTGAGGGCAAAGGCACGCAGGCTGGAGCCCGTTCTTCGACTGGCCTTGATCACGTCCAGGAGCTGCGACCTGAGAAGGTCGAAGTCCTTTGCCATCGCCTGGAAAGCCATGACTCTGGGACCTTGCAGAAGAGACTCGCCAGCAGCGCGACAGAGAATTGTGACTTGATCTCAGCCAGCGGCGCTTCAGACACTTGAACAGTAAGATGCCTCTCTGGCGGTCTGTGGCCGAAACGGCTCCGTGGTCTGAGCAGTCGAGGTTCTGCAAAAAGCAGGCAGAACTGGAGCTGATGACCCGAGCAACGGCTGACAAAAGCGACTTGCCTAAGCCAGCTGACCGACTTGCACTGAGATTTGAACGAAGCGAGAGATGTGTCTGTGACTGAGGCATGAGGAACGTTACGAGACGGGCGGGAGGCCTCCTTTGGAGCATCATCTTCGGACCTAAACACAGCATGTTGCTTGCATCTCTGCTTTGCCTAAATCGAAACAAAGACCTGATGCACGAACTGAGTGATCTTGCACCACCTCGCTGTTTGCTCGAAGCAGGCTCGTCGCTTGCTATGCACCCCCCGGTTCATTGATTCAGAATCCCTAATCCGTGGGCGAACGGCAGGGAGCTTTGCACGTTTTGTGCGGTGCGAACGGGATTCTCAGGAAATGCGGAGTGCTCAGCGCAGCGGAAAGCCGTCGCCCTCCTGAAGTCGAAGAGTCGAAGTGCACAAACCGTGCAAAGCAGTGCGGAGTGGCATCCTCCGAATCGGAGCCGTCCGGCTCCAGGGTGTGGGCGAGGTGCTGCACAACCCTTTTCTTCTCCTCATGACGACATGTCACAACCCAGAACATCTCCGTGAGATCTAAGAACACCCTCTCCTCCAGCAGCGCTACCTCACGCTTGAGAGCCTGTCATGAGAGCCAAGCCAGCCAAGGCAGGAGTCGCCCGCAGTACCCCGGCCTCGAGCGCGGCCGCACTTTTCGGCCCCCGCGCGGCCGGTGCCGCTGGCGCCGCTCTGGCAGGAGCCTGGGACGCTGGGCTCGCCTGGGCCGCCTGTCCCCCGGCCGAGGAACGGCTCGGGGGCTGGAAGCTGCCTGCAGTCACGGCAAAAGCAAATGAAGGAGCGCGCGATGACCACACCACCACGCTTAGCCAAGCAGCCGAGGGAGGCCACTCCCTGGGTAGCTGACAACGTGGCTTCTTGCAAGGCCTGCTGATGGCAACTGTTAGCCGGAGGCGATCGTGAAGTTGGCTCAGTGAATAGCGAGTGACCGTTTACGGCGCCAGCGTGCTTCATGACGACAGCCGTGAGCTCTTCAGCCTGTGCACCTTCTGACATAACGAGCCTGCAGTTTCTCGACTAGCGCGACCAGCTCCCCCGCAAAGGGGCCCTCTGACGGTTGTGTCCACTTGTCACGCCCACTCTGCTGCTCTGACATGCTCTGCCTCCTGCAACTGAGTGGGAGTTGGCGCTGGATCCAGCGGGCTGGGACATGGGGCCTCAAGCCAGCTGCTACTCGCAACTTGGCTCAGCGTTCCCCGTCTCTTACGCCTTACGCACTCCAGGGGCTTGGCCTGCACTACCGGCACTTCGGCCGTTCGAGGCTCATCAGGGTCCACAGCTACCTGGCACAGGTCAGCATCCAGCAGAGACTTTGAGGTGTGAACCCTCGGGTACAGACGATGTGCCTGGGTCACCTGAATCTTGGGACCCACAACTTTCGGGTTGATTTCTGGCTCGTCCTGCGTGTCCTCCTTGACAGGTCCGGTCAGCAGCCAACAAGGCCAACAGGACGTGCCGTGTTCCGACTCTGAAGGATGAAAGCTCCTCCGGCGCACTGGTTTCGGCATCTGCCTGCTGCGACAACCTGACAAATCGCATGTCAAACAAAGTCAACCCGGGAATCCAAAAACCATCCACAAAAGGGCCCCGCGCCCCACCCGGTATCGCGAGCCACCCGGTGGAACCCCTCCCTGGCCCGCTAAGCACCCCGAATCGCGACCGCCTCCGGTGGAACCCGGCACGCCGCGCCGCGTCCGGTGGAACTGCGCCCCGAACGCGCCGACCCCATATCGCGACCGCACATACAATGGCTCGCGTTCACACCGGACTTTCCGGCGGGTGAACACCAGGTCAGAAGCTTCGATCCTACTACAATCGCATGAACCTCACAAAATTCTGCCAGCCTCTCGACCAGCTTCAGCAGACCTGCACGTTGGACATGGAACGCTGCACGGAAGATGACTGCAGACTCATGCAGTGCTCTTCAGAAGTTCCAATACCACAGCATGCCCAAAGGTTACGAGCAAGCCAACACGTGCCAGTTCCAGTGTATTTCCCATCACTATCACTGGCATCTGATGATGTAGTCATAGCTGCAAAAAGCTATCTCTCGCCGAAGCGAGAGTTGGAAGCAACGTACCAAGCCTAGAAGAGCGCCCAATCATGGGTGCAGCGCATGTGAAGAAACTGCGTCAGTGCGGAAAGTCATAAGGAATCCTGATTTGATCAGGTCGTCATCGGAAGAAAGCAACATTCCGGGTTGTCGAACTGCCACAGATCAAGTGGACAACACAGCCGAATGCACATGTGAAGATATGAAGACATATGAAACGCAGAAACGCCTGCCAAGGTAATTTGAAGGATCGTCCACTCCAACATCAAGCGCGAGGGCGACGTCAAAGAGTGGAAAGGTAAAGGAAAGTCATGGAAATTGGAAAGATCGGTCACCGGCCAAGAACCAAATTGAACTGCAGACCACGACTGGGTCCTGCTGTTCACACCCGGAAATACCTCACGGTGCTCCGAGCAGACTGTGAAGCCTCCGCTAAGCCGCTAAGCAGCACGGGCAAAAGAGCCACCAGGGAGCACGCAGCCATCCAGTCCACAAAGCAACCGGCGTCGGGAGAGGAGCGAGCGCCCTTATGTCAAGGGGGAGGCCATGAAGATCTGGAGCAGGATCTGATGTTGATCTCGTTGTACCTGCAACAACCTTTCTCTCACCGAAGCGGGGCTTGGCAGCAACGTAGCAGGTCCAAGGAGGGTGTTGCCAAAGAAAAACTGCAATATCAGCGGGGATACTCATGACTGCCGCAAAGCATCATCGGAACAGCACCTTCCGGTATATCGGACTGCCGAGCTGCTCGGACTTACACTTCTACAAATTAAATGTGCCGCAACCTTGAGCAGCATGGCACTGTGCAGTTTGAGATGCCTTGCTTGTCTCTTTCTTTCTGTAATGCTTATATATATATATACATATGGTAGCCCCCCCCGCCAAGAACTACCTACCCTCGTTTTGTATCGTAAATACCGTGCCAAACCAGCTTTTCCGGAAGGTCAGGATTCTGTATCTCTCATAGACTACCCAAATCAAACTCACGTTTCAAGACAACGTGTCAGTCAACTCGCTCAGGTTTGACGTGAAGTCCGGATTCAGTATCTCTCAAAGACCACCGAAGTCAAACTCACATTTCAAGAGAACGTCACAGTCAGCTCGTTCAAGTTCGACGTTTCGACGTGAGCACACGCTTAACAGCAACGCTGTGCTCTTCCTCCCAAAACTAAAAACATCTTTTGGGAGACTATGTGGCCAGACTTGGAAAAAATTGCGTTTTTTGTTTTCTCTACTAAAAACATGGTTTTGGGTGGAAAAACCAACTTTTTGCTACGAAAAACATCGTTTTTCGTGGAAAACAAGCTTTTCCGCTGGAAAAGATGGTTTTGTGCGGAAAAACCAACTTTCCTAGGGAAAACCAAAAACCAAAAAAAACATCTTTTGGAAAACTATACGGCCGAACTCCAAACGTATTTTTTGGTTTTTCCTGGTGAGAAAATTGGTTTTTCACACCAAAACCATCTTTCTCCTAGGAAAAAGTTGGTTTCTCACACCAAAACCAAAAAATTCCTAGGATAGATTTAATTTTTTAACAAAACCCATCTCTTTCCTAGTGAAAATAAAAAAAACACTCTATTTGGACTCCGGCCGTATAGTTTGCCAAAGCATGATTTTTTTTGTGTTCCCCAGGGAAACATTTGTTTTTCTGCCCAAAACGGTTTTTTCCTAGGAAAAACATGAAACATTGTTTTTCACTCCAAAACCATTTTTTTCCTAGGAAAATATTTTGCAGTTCACTCCTAAACCAAGGTTTTTTGTAGCGACGAGTGTGCATTTCATTTGTTTGCTCGCGTTACGAACTAGTGTTGCCTTTAAGGTTAGGGTATCTTTATTACTTGGATGCGATTCCGCCAACATTAATACTCTACAATATATTGGGTAGTAACCAAGACAACATTCGGGTCAACTGTGGGGTCGATAGGGGGCTGGTTATCACAGCTACCGCTTGATGTCTTCTTCTAGCTGACTGAAATTGTAAATTAAATAAGAAACATTGGAGTCAGATTCTGGGTGGTACTAAGCCTACTATGGATGGCCTGAGGGCTGCTGTCAGGGCGATTATTACGGTCACCATTGACATGACGGCGAATGACAAGGATATGGTTATGGTTGATGTTGTTTGGAAACAAGAGTCAGCTAATGATCTTCGTCAAGATGTTGGTACCTAAGGCAGGCTTAACCTGGTTCTTTACATTTATGTGTATATAGACACATAAATGTACATACCGCATACGGGCAAGTCCAACAGCAAGTCTGACAGTGAGAAAGCGAGCGCCATGTACTATATGTTGAAGTAAACAAACAAATCCTGGTATAATCCCTAAACATCGAAGGGCCATCCTTTGGGGAACACCAGAGCGAAGACAGCAAGGATCGCGGTTCTTAACGGAATCCGTTTCGTGTAATTTAATAGTACCATGGATATGACGGCAACCGTTGAACCAAATGTTTGGGCAGTACTTAGCTTACATGTGTTCATATTAACAGTAACTAATCATGGGGATGCCATGGCTTTTCTTCGGGGACTTGAATGGGAACCCACAGCTACATCTGGATGCACTAACTTGTTGATGAGGCCAATGGCCATTATGTGGGTTGCAGTTGAAGGAAATATCCGGTACCAGGAACAGCTTATGGGTAATACTAAGTTTGCGGGTAAGGTCCATCTTGTGGGGACGGCAATATCCTTACTATCAGGGGGCCAGTCAAGCTGATGTATGTGATTGTATTAATCTATTAACCTTGTATTAACCTTCAGCTGGGCATGGGAGTTGAGATGGAAATGTATACATAATGGGGCTACAAGTCGACATAACATGTTAATCCATACGAACTAAGACGTGAATCTATAAGGCATCATTTGTGGGTTAACATGAAGTGGAAGACTACTGTCACCATTGGCACCAATGCAAGGGCTACTGGCAGGGGTAGTCTTAGGATATTGTTGTTTAGGAATAGGAGTCAGTCAATGCACACGGTCATTCATACGTATTTCTGGGGCTTGGATCTGAAACTGTCGTGAAGGCTACGCTAGGAGTTAATGCTCGTGCCCATATTGAGCTTCGGGTATTCCGACAGACATGACTTTCACGTTGGGAAATCATATGTCAAAGTATCTGTGTCAAGGGTCACAACAATTGAGAATGAAGGCGGCTGCCGATGTACATATGCTGCCCCCTCCGAACTTCAATATCTAACACTTAGCCTGGATCATACAATAGAAGCCTAAACCTAGGAGGATTGGTGGCATTATCGCGGCACCTCCGCGGTAGTTCTTCGGGGGGGTTAGCACATATATATATATATATATATATATATAGGTATATACAGATATAACATATATATATATATATATATATAGGTATATATAGATATAATATATATATTAATATATATATATATATATATATATAATTATATATATATATATATATGTCTATATACATATGTATATATATATATATATATAGTCCGGTCAAGGCCCGTGTTGGAGGTTTAGGGGCTCTGTCTTGCATCGGAATGACCCCACCATATGAGGAGGTATCAAATTCGCCATTTTTCAGGGGCCTGAAACGCCAGTGTCGAATCACGGCTCTGGAGACAAGAGCGCTTCCAGCACCACTCTCTTACTTCAATCACGCGCATCATCTGAGATCTGAGGAATGCACTTTCCATGAGACCACTGCAGCAAATCATCACTCTCACATGTGGCGCGAGAGTCTCCAGGACCAACGCTCTCTTGTCTGCGTGGTGTCAAAAGACCTTGTTTCACTGCGACAACCACCACCCGCCACCTGTCAAGCCTTGCACAGCACGCCGTCTACACCGGCAAAACCCACATTTACATGACCGAAGGCAACCGCACAAGGAGACGAAGGCGGTATGGAAGCGATCTTTAGGTTTACCGGAACCCACAAAACCGTTGAAAGTTTTCGTTTGGCATCGACTCCCCTGCCGTCTGTTCTGAAACTTCGTCGCAAGCATTGGCTTGTCTGGACACATGGGGTCTTGCCTGCACGCATGCATGTTTTGCAAGCTCCATGAGGAAAATCTTGTTTGACGAAAAGAACACGGCCTTCTCATCCGCGAATCGGGGTATTTCGCAAGCGACATCCACGCATTCCGCGTCGTACGCATAACAGCCCGGATTTGAACACTGAAAGAAATTGGCTGTCCGACCTGCGATGGTCTGCTGCTTGGACTTCAGGTCAAGCTGTAGGCGCTTGTTCTTCCGCCTAAGAATGGCGACCTCGCGATACCTGAAAGGGTGCAAACGGGCAGGGGCAGATCCCTCGCCACCAACCTACTGCATCGGGGAGGGTGCTGCAAGTGCTCGTCGCTCTCCCGCGAAGTCGATTCGGTCTTGATGGACTTGCCTGGGCTGCAATCTGCTCCAGGCATCTACTCTTGGGCAGATGGCGCGGCCCCACAGCCAAGTTGCTTTGGCTGTCGCGCAAAAGCTCCGAGATGGTTTCGTCCTTTCTCCTCGTGCTGCACGGAGGGGGGGCAAAAGCGATCATCTGAAACGAACATGTAGAAACACCACGAACTTGTGCCCTGACTGTGGTGAAACCAAACGATGAGCATCAAGCAAGATGTTGCAAACAGACTGCGGCGCGGCGATACTTAGGTTTTCAAGGCATTGAAAACGTCGCAAAACCTTTGTGCATCACGTTCACAAGGTTCGACGCAACCAGCAAGAACTTGCAAAGTGCCACACGCCATAACACAAGCATGTTCGCATGCTCCCATCATATATTGCTACCTTACGAGTTTGTCCACAGACAAATCCGTATTTGGCGCAACACTGTACGTCCGAATCACGGCTGGGACAGGCTGACTTTTCAGCAATGAGCTTGGAAAAGCTACATTCCTAGTATGGCCAGGGATCGCCGACAAAGTCTCTACATCTTGTCACCAACTGCCTGTTAGTTCTTCCTCGAAGACAGCACTTGGAAACAACACGCAGCCAATTCTTTTTAAGCACGATACTTGACGATGTCTCGGAGCATGCTGTTCTCTTGCCGCAGCTGCTCGCAGAGCTGTTCCTGGTGGGGGAGTAAGGTGCAGCATGCCCACTCTCGCCATTTGCCCAAACAAACTCAAACTGTTTTCTGTCCGTGTCCTGCAGCTTTAGCTTCTCCTGAAGGCCTTGTTCGCTGGACTTCGCCTGCAGTCGACTTCACACGAATGCCAGAGCCTAGCCGACACATCGGAACTCTGCCATCTGCAGTATGTTCGGCATCATCCAAGCCGAATCCAAGCTTCCACTGGTTTTGCTTCCATCTCCGTGATGGAAAGGAACTAAGCCCCAAACCGAGAGAATTGCAATTGCTGCTCATCTTTGGAAAGTGTTCTGCGCCGCATGGAAAATACATTCAGACGGTAAACCCCTTCCGTAGGCCATCCATATAAACGCGACTTCGAGCAGCGATCTGATTGGATTATCACTGCGCTGTTTTGGCAACTCCTGCGCCTGCGGAGCTTTAGCCACCTCGCCACCTTGGTCGGCGACGAGGAAGCGCAGGCCATGAAGCCATGCCTCGAGATCCTCCTTGGAGGTGCCTGAGATTGCCGAAGGCAGATGCTGGGACTGGTCGGTCCACACCTTCTGTTTCTTTCCCAGGGCACAAATCAACTCGATCTGTGCCGGCAGTGCCGAGCCTTTCTCCTGCAAAGCCGGCGCAGAGCTCTAGGATGTGACAAAGCAGACATGCGACCAATTTCATGAGAATTGTATCCCTCGTGTCAACTTCCTTCTTTACAGAGAGAATATCCAAGCTCACCTTCGGTTGAGTTCTACCCCAGACTGACCAGACAACAGAAGGAGCGCATGGGTCACGCAGTCCTGCCGCAGCTTCACCTGCAGCGCATGATGTCCCTCGCCTGATTGAATGGCCAGGGAAGACGGCTTTCAGTTTGAAGTGAAAGAGTTCATCCGAATGGCCATTGGAGACCCCCGGCAAGGATAAAAGGCTGGCGTCTTCCACGGCGACGATTTTGCTGAGCGGAATCTGCCTGCGCGGTCATGACTCAGTCGCGAAGGGCGGGAGCTCCGATCCGTAAGCCCTACTCTCAAGCAAGCGACCGGGAGGGACCGCTCCCTTCGCAGTCCCGCCAAGAGAGGAGCTGCAGGTCCTGCACATGAGCATGCGGAGCGCATTTTGACGACCCAGCCCGCCACTCGTTCCCACAAGGATCCCTTGTTTCCTCTCCCTTGTCCTGGCCACCTGAACCCCTCCTTTCCCTCTGGACCCATTCACAAGCTTTCGGTTGTTTGTAGGCAGTCTGAGCCAAAAACACGTTTCACACCTTGTTCACCCCCTCCAGCATCCTAGCAATCGATCTGCACTCTTTATTTGCGGCCGGGCCGATGCGGACGACGCGATTATAAACGAAGCCTATGTCTCATCTCAGTGCTAGCGCGAGTCGAGTAAATATTGAAATCAAAACTGGAGGATACTGGAGGCAAACTCAAACCAGGCAGCTGGGAGACCATATGATGCCACCAAACCTTCCACAAAAAGCTGCCAGCCAAAATTCAGGGCTGAAAGCAAAAACGAAGCCGCACGTCCCGCGGTGCTCCCACACATAAACACCAAGTCCACCTCAGAGAATCGGAAGCAAGGATATGTCGATGTCACAGGGTTGTCTGAGCCGGCAAGGGGTCTATGTCTATGTCGAAGGGGCAAGCAGTTTCAGAGTCTAAGGCGAGGCTAGGATGGGGCAACCCGCCCTGGCTCTCAAACCTCAACCCGGCCGCAACACTTAAACACGAAGGCAGCTGAAAAGGGAGAAGTGAAGTTTTGCGCCAATTGCAACGGATCCGAAGTCGCAAATCGCAGCTTGGACCCAAAGCAGCAGCAGCCTAGACATGCTATGACCCTAGTTGCGACCCCTGTATTCCTACATTCCACACTTCCTTCCTTCCGACCTTCCTTGATGTCTTGCTTCCTTTCTTCCTTCGTTCCTCCCTTCCTCCGTTCTTTCTTCTTTGCTTGCTTCCTGCCCTCCGGCTGTATCCTTTTTGAATTTTCTTACGGCTAAATACTTTCGATTCCTAGGGCATTCACCCCTAATCACTCGTACGAAACCTAGAACAAGCGAACCAATCCGAAAACCTCAAGACATCAACAAAAACAAAACACAGTACCCCCCCATCAAGCATCGTGGACAGGTGCTCGCAGGTGCTCGAATGAGGCCGGTGTTTCAGCTGCTTCTGGATACTGCCGAAAATCCGACGGTCCTGGGAGATTTGGAAGGAGCAGATCTGAAGATCCAGATCTTGGCCCTGCGACCCCTGAGTGCGGAGTAGCAGCGGAGTGCCGGCCTGCAGAGCATAGCAAGACAGGCTGAGGACTCGGATTCGGCTGATTCGGCTAACCGTCGGCTAACCACGGCCTGGAGCTTGCGGACATGCCGGCGCAACGCCAGGAATTCCTCGTAATCCGCTTCTTGGCTCATCCCGCCGATGGCTTCGAGTGCACCCTTTGTGAGGGCCCCCTTCCACGAGCTCCCTTGATGCTTGAGCCTTCCACGGGCTGCGCTGCTAGAACCCTACGCCAACAAGAAACTCCGATCCTCATGCACTGGTGCACTGGTCCACTGTTGCATGGCTTGCCCTCCAAAACCACGAGGCTCCGGCTCTGTGGCTCCCTGACCTCGGGGCATTCTGTTACTCAGGCTGCATGTCCCGCATGCATCACTTGGTACTTGAAACATGTGGGCAGGCCTTGCGACTTGCGACCCGTATGTTGGCGGCGAGCAGGGGTTTGCTATCTTCGGGTTGGAGCAGCTAGTTCAGCTAGTCGACTATCCTGCCTCGAGTCTTGTCTCTAGACTCTAGACCTCCAGAACAATGGCCCAAAGTGCCAGCACAGCTGAGAATCCTTCTTTTCAGATGCTGGCCCAACTGTCCGTTGGAGTTGTTGCCGCAGGTCATAAGGCGGGTCTTGGAGAAAGTGGACCTGCGGCAAGAATCAGTGGAATGTCTTCATGGACCTGAACACCACAGACATGTGCTGTGCTTCGAAGGCCGCAATCACTTCCCGGCTTTCCCCAGCTGAGATCTCCGCCCTTGAGTCGGCCTAGGCAGTCATGCCATGCCAGGCGTGTCGGTGGATCGGAGTGCGGGACTGCACATAAACATGCAAGCAAGGGATACGTTTCTTGCGAGTCTGGCATGATTCCGTGTGCGACTCGTGTTAAACATCAATCGGCTCCGTAGCATCCAGGCAGGACAAACTGAGAGCTGGGCTCCAGGTTTTCCAGCACGGCGGAGTGGTTATTCCCACAAGCGACTTCGATAAAGTGACGAGACCTGAGCTGAAAATAAACTTGGGACATCTGCGTTGTGGCTCGGTTTCGGGTTCGGCGATGGCCAGGAAAGCCGTGAGAGCGCAGGACGCGGGGAGCCCCCACAAGAGAGATGTCAGACGGACAGTGCGAATGTTGCAGCAGGGCCCGCCCCTTAAGGGTGCACGGGGAGGTGAGGTAGGCTCTTGGTTTTTACTCGTTGCCCGGCAATCTGCAGCGTTCAGAACTTTGTCCCCCTGTGAGGCACTGCTTCAACCTGGCTCCAGCTGATGGTGGCAGAGGTTAGTTTCACGGGCCTCGGTCTCGGTCTTTCTCAGAGCTGCATCTTGGACTAGGGCGGAACCGGTCTTATGGGCGAGGCCTGGCCACACTCAGGTAGGGTTCCGGGACGACTTCTGTGCTGGAAGGGTCGGGTCCACGAGCTTGGGACTGCGGTGAAACCGGGGTTTCATGTGACTCTACCGTTCCATAATGCCTACTGACAACACTACTAACCTATTTTACCGTGTATAGGGGTTCCAGATCCCGGACCCTTCCACCGACTTCTGCTAAATTGTGCAAACGGAACTGCATGTTGGAGTTCTGTGACTCCAAAAACAACATCTGCTCGGTTCGAAACCTCCAACCAACCGCCGAATCCTGGTAGTAAACTGAGCATATTGAGCAGTCACCCTAGCGGAATTACACAACCACACATCGGCCTTACAGCACAGAATCTGGTAAAGAGACAAGCACACCAACAAGAATGTAAGGAGAGTGCCGAAGAACTCGTGTGAAATCGTACTTTGTTTGGTACACTTTTCAACCAACCAGTTGACGCAGCATCCTGAGCGGAGGAGTCGTGAAAGAGTCGTAATGGACCTTCGTTGTTTGAGGTCACCAGCCATCCCTGTAGGATCCAGGTGTCGAGCAGGTGCAAGAACACACGCTATCCCATTCCATCCCGTTCCCACATAGTCGGAAGCAAGAATCAGAGCTCCCAAACACCCCTCTCCGGAGGGGAAAGCTTTCACGCAGCATCAAAGCCCAGTGAATCCCTGCTTCGCTGTGTTGCATGAATGTCGCCGAGTGCAACGTCTTGGCGGGCTCATCTGCATTGGCAGAGACAACCCTACGTGGCAGCATGCAGAAATTAGCAGGAAGGATCCACGAAGGATCAGGATCAACGCAAGTAAGTGGTTCGAGTATGGCTGCAAAGTCAGCAAGATGCCACCTTGTGATATCTACAGACCTATTGATGCCCAGCAGGGAGTGTCAAGCTATGCGTCTGAAAGCGAAAAAGTGCGAAAGCTTTACGGCACTCCAACAACCCTGAGCTTCTGCAGATGCATCCCTCCTGAAGGCGGAAGTCAAATGGCAAAAAAACTCGACCGAAAGGCATGCTCCCAACAATGCCTCGGCGAGTTCGGGAAGGAGGGGAGGGCGAGGGAAGCATACACAAGCTCAGCTGACCGATTGAGGCGATTTCGTCGCAATCGCGACAGAGATAGGGCCCAGTAGCCAAACTGAAGGAGTGGTAGGCTTGTTGTCGTCGTCTCTCGGCTGTAATCGCAGGCTGCGAATCTTCCGCATTCACAGGCCGGTGATTTTCAGCAATAAGACTGGAGGACATCACAGCATTCGATGCAGGACAAGCAGGCTTGGGAGGCAGGGGAGGAAAGCACGGAGATGCTCGGAGGTGGCAACGTGCTGCCGCCCTTGCAAAGGCGTTCAGTCGACCTCTGTACGATGTACCGACGACAAAGTCACTCAGGAGAAATCAACTGGCAACTCAATAGCTTCAGACAGAATCTAACCAACAAGACAGTCACGCTAACAGCATTGGGGGTTTGAAAATGGACATTTCAACAGACAGCACATGGCACAATCATTGCATGTGAAGGATGTGGAATCAGGGAAAAGCATCCGACATAAAAAGAATCATTGAGAAAGTCAAATCGACAGGCAAAGCCGTCGGGTTTGTTCAATCCTTTCTGGGGCCTACAGTATTGCCTTCTAACCGCGCGAATTTACTTGCAAACAAAGGAGGCGAATGCACTATGTCACAAGTCAAAGCTGATGCAGGTGTGCCTGGTCAAGGTGGCGATGATATGACTGCAACCCCGACCCCCACTGCCATCAAGTTCGAGACCCCTCTGGCTGAGGTCGTTGCGAGTGTGGCTTCTTCTTTTGAGAACTTTCAGCCTCCTCGAACCTCATGGACATGGGCATGTCGGCTGTATTACATTAAGTGCTCTGTTGACCCAAGCCAAAGTTCCAGCTGAAAGCCACTCTCTATCTGCGTATTGGCCAAGCGGCACTCGCATCGTGCACGGCCAGTGGATGCCATTGATCTCGGGAAATGCTTGCTTCTGTTTCGGAAGTCAGGGTCCGAATCAAAGGATCTCGCCCCCAACCCCGGCGGCCCGGCGATCCCGCGCCTGGTCAGCCTTGGATGCAGAAAACCTGTCGCCCAGCGCTTTCCTGCATGAAAAGCACGAAACGTGAAACTGAAAGCTCCGACATTGATGTCTCCCGCTCGCCTCATTCCGAGGGCATTGTAGCGATTGTTGCCCCAACCTGACAGCTCGAAACTGCTGTGAATGCAGGCACAGTGATAATATCATACTGCGCCTCGCCAGGCCCATATCGTAAGATCAGGATCATCCATCCCATCTTCACCATACGGTATTTGTGCAAAAGCAACCTCGGCTCCTTTAGGCATCAATGAATTGGTAGCGTGGTCATGGAGAAGTCTCCATGATCGAAGCAGTTACAGTAGTTTCAGCACTAATTAATGACTAGTGCTCTCTCGGTCTGAAAATGGACGTCAGCTAGAGATGACTTGCTTACAGGTGCACGGGGAAGCGTGGAGACTGCCGTGATTTCGCAAGACTGAAACTTACATCGCCAAGAAAGTGCCTAAACTGGCTGGGATGGTATCCTTCGACCTCGACCTGCTCTGGAAGAAAATAAGCACATCCACCCAAAGTCAAGACCCTGGAAGCCCTCCTGATACAAGGTTACCCCATACCACATTTTGATGGACGACCTCCAAGACGCAAAAGCTGGGTTACCGAACCCACCAGCTTGGTTCCCTCCTCTTCCGCGGCGCGTACCAGCACGACCGTGTGCCTTGGCTTGGCAGGTCGACTTGTGCTAGTGATAGGACTCGGCATGAACAGCGATAGCAACACATTGAAACCTCATGGACCAGCACAAATGCCGCTAAGGCCTGCACGCATTGCCGCAAGAGACCTTCCGCGGCTCAGCCTGCAAGGTCCATGATTGTCTTGCACGGGCAGACAAGAATAACGTGAGGCACCTGGTGCTCTTCGACAAAGGCACAGTGCAGTGAGTTACCACGGAATCTACACAATGCCTTTTTTATTGCTGCCGTTTGGCGCGTAGCCTCTGTGCACACGTCACATTAACCAACGAGGTGCCGCGACTCCGGCTCCTAAACCGTCGGCCCCTTGGCCCTTGTCTGGACATTTGGCCTTATGGTTCCGGCACGGCAGCTGGCCCAAACATCCAGCTCCAGAGTAGACCCCAAGCACCTCAACGAAACTGAACTCAAATCGATTCAACTCGAATGAAGGACTACGCCGTCTCCGCTTGTCTGCTCATTGCGAGGTCGACTTCGCCTCAGGCATTCTGGCTGCGTCTAGTCGGGCCTACAGCCAACACTCGCTCTTTATAAAAAATGTTTAATCAACGCTCACTTTAGTTGGCCTGCGCCGAGGAAGATCCCCTAATTGTGACGATGGTCGGTGTCCAAGCTCGACAGTACGCAAGTCAGGAAGGCAGCCGCCTTTTCGTCCACATCCGCCTGAGTTCAAAGTGCTCATCGCAAAGTCCTACTGCTGCAGACAAAGAGGCGTTGAAGCCCTGTTGCGCGAAGGAAGTGGGTCCAGAACCCATGGTTCTTGCAACTGTGCAGGTTAGCAGGCATTCTGAAAAACCATCCTCGCGTTGTGCCATCATTGCCTATCATCGCCTCGCCTGATCTTCCGTTCCGCTGCACTAATTCAGCTTCAAACCGCCACACTTCAATGGGCGACAGCTCAAAAGTGCAAGCTTCGTGGGCTGATTCTGTTCACCAATGAGCTATGCAGTGCTGTGAACAGGCTACGACAAAAATTGCCTTATCTGCTGCAATGCAAACACCGGAAACCGTCGTGATACTGCCTATGGCCCATGGCTTGTATGATTCTAAGAGCTTGGAATATCGTGTGGGTGGCACGAGCTCGCCCGGCAAAGCCTCAAGTTCAACGTTCAAACCAGAAGACGGAACTGCAAAGGCTCAAGCCTCGTCGCATCTGCCCCGCGTAACATCACATCTTGCATGCCAGGTGTTTCTGCTCACCCAAAGGCGCACCTGTCTTTCAGGCCTCTGAAAATCCATGAGACAACACTACTGCTGCTGACGACGACAACGACGACTACCACTGTGACTTCGCTACCGCTATCATAACCGCCACGGCTTCGGCTACGGCTGCTGCTGCTACGGCTGCCTCTACTACCGCAACTATTGCAGCTGCTCCTGCTACTGCAGCCATTCGTACTGTTGCTACACCTCTTACTTCTACATTCTACGGCTTGCTTGCGCCACGACCACCACCACCACCACCACCACCACAGCTACAGCTACAATCTCTTCTCAGCAGCAGCAACAACAACGACGACGACGACCAGGGCTGTCGCAGCCACAAGCGCAGACCGCCACCAGCACCAGCATCAGCACCAGCACCAGCACCACCTAAAGCACCTGCTTAGGACTGGGAAAGCCTCGTACATGTGGTGCTTTGGGATGCTCATCCAATCAAAGCGACCGGTTCCGAGATCGAAGGTGGCATTGAAGCCAGCCAGTCACCCGTACAATCCACCTGTGCCAAGGCATCGTGAAGTCAAGTGCTGGCCCTCCCAACCTAATCTCTCCAGCTGCCAGCTGAAGGATCCGAAAAGCGTCCGCAACTCCCACTTCCTTTCCTGCGGCTCAGGCACACCCAGCGATTCCAAGCAGCCTCGCACCTCAGCCTCGGCCGCCTGTGCAGCCTCCCCAAGACCGTGAAATTCCAAATGGTCCTCAGAAAGAAAGCTGCGGCAGCTCTACTGGAGACCTGCCCCTACAGATCGCAGCTCTCCTGCCAGACAAGCTTGCTCTGTGTTGCAGTGGCCGGAGAAGTGCTGCGGCAACAGACGTGCCCTCGTGGTAGAGGAGCCGGGCACCCAGACTGGAATGCCTATGCGGATCGTCATCAAGTGCACTTCAAGTGCCATGCAGGCCGCACAGCGCACAGCCTGACAGCCCCGGCCCCAAACCTGGGCTCGCCTCCAAGTGCATGCGCGCATCACCGGGCCGCTCGAATGCAATGACTTTCACAGTAACGATGCAGCCCAGCAGGTCAACGACCTCCACCTCGAGAGAGCGCTGAAGAGCGATGCTTGCAGCGATGCTTGCATGCTCAGTATGCAGTCGACATCACTGGAAGAAGCCCAGATGCATCAAAGGTCTCGCAAACCTGGCGTTTCGTCAAGGAACTCTTTGACTCTAGTTTGGCCCCTTCAGTGCCTCGACGGAGCAAGCACCGACCCCATGAACCGGAATGCCGATACGGAGTCGGAGAGAACCCAGCAGAGTCTCCTGACAGCCAGAAAGAACGGGACACGCTCGGGGATACCGAGAAGCACACATGCAAAACATGCTGACTTCTACGAGTACCGCTCCACCGAATGTGAAGCATGCTGGCTTGACATTTACCACTGCGTCGGTTGGCCTAGAATCCAAATGTGCAGGTAAACCTTTCTCAGCCCCACTCCTTGATCATGTCTCCTCATGTTCTCACTGAGCTTACATACATGTACGTTGCTGATTTCTGTCTTTTGCTTCGGTTGTAGCTTCGCCGGATCCAAATCATCCGACACTAAACCCTTCGCTTGCTTCAATGGCCTGCCGAACAGCGCCCAGCAGCGGCAACGAGATCTCTCCGTGACCGCCCTCTGGAGACATCTGGAAAAGTCCCATGCCAAGAACCTCCTGCCGCATCTGAAGGCAGGATACAGGTTTTAACCTCCTATTACGCAAAGAGTTGGGCAAATGGCTCTCCAAGATGGCCTGAGAGGCTGAAAGGGTTTCGCCCAGCAAGGCCGCACGTAGCACGACAGGCGTGACAGCCCGCAGCTCCATCACGAGAACAGACCATGCGGGGCAACAGAATCGGTGGGCCACCAGACGGCCCAACTCCCAGTGCATACGTGCCAGAGCCTGCAAGTACTGCTTCCAGTACCTTCTACGGCTCTCCTTCTCTTCAGAAGCCAAAGAATTGAAGTCGTCCAATGTGTTGAGCTCGGCCCGGCCCCAATCGAAAACCTTCACAGCGACCCGCGGTTGCAAACAACAGCTGCCAATCTCCATGGCCAACGCGACAGACGAGCCGATCCATTGTTGTGGAACGTCCAAACCGAGCACAGCTGTGAGCAATAGCTGCATCTGCTTGAAAGTGGCCAAGGCTGCTTGTTGGGCATGTAGCTCTGCGCCAGCTCCTAGATCTGACACGTCCAGCCATGACTCCAGGAAGTCAGCTGCCCGGAGCCTTTGCAAGGTGAAACGACGAATGACCTTCGGCGAGATGTACTTGGCAGTGGCCATGCTCTTGGCTTGGAGTACCTCTAAAATCCTCTTCTCGAGAGACCGTGGGGGTAGATCCATGCCCTCGAGGCGGAAGCCCTCCACAGCCGAGTTCGTTCGCTGGTCCACGCATGCATTCTTCCATGCATTCAATCGACTTTTCCCTTTCCAGCCTGCCACGGATGTCTCGGCCCCTAGCTTCACATCCAGGAGCCGCATACGCTCGAAACCATGCCGTAAGTTCTCTAGGAGCAACAGCAACCGCTTGGTCCGCAGATGCGTTTTGGCACCCACACACTCCTCAGCTCAGATCTCGCGAACTTGCAGCCACAAGCCACAAGCCTGCTCTCTTTGGCCGAGAGACCAAGCGCACGATGCCAGGGCAAGCCATGGCCATGCGGCCGAAAGCTGCCCAGCTCCCGCCTTCTTTCACCACCTTTTCACGAAAACAGAAACACCCCCTTCTCTCATCATCTAAATCTACGCGTTTGCAAAAAAAGTATCCGGTATCCGATCAACCAGTGATAAATGGTGTGTGGATACCGTCTTCTGTCAGCAATGTTTACCGTTTACTCGAAATCCACATCCACACACCTTCTGGCTCCCAATCGACAAGCTCTGCACAAGAAGCGAGTCCTCTCGAAGCCGGGCATAGAAGTCCAGCTCGTCGCCTCGGCAACGCTTTGGATGATTATCTGGAGCTACAACACACCGATGCGTGGCAGTTTTCTCTGCTCCTGGCTGGCATGCGCAACATCCTTGCCGATGTAAAAATCACGTGGGAAGCCTTCTGGCTGCTTCCCACATCGATACAGCAGCGCATAAAATGCCGCAGTACCACCTGCTCAAGCAGCCGGGGAGAAGATCAATATGCCTTCTTCTGGAAACTTTTCTTTTGCAGATTGATGGTTGCCTTCCGTGGCACTTTCGCACTCACTTTCGTTCGACATGTCTGCAGCAGTAGTCGTCGTCGTCGTGGTGGTGGTGGTAGGAGCGGCAGTAGTGGCGGCAGCAGCAGCTGCAGCAGCATCAGCAACAGCAGAAGCAGTAGCACTAGCGGCAGTAGCGGTAGAGTAATAACAGTTGCAGCAGTAGCCCGTACAGTAGTGGTAGTGGTACTGGTGGTGGTGCCGCAGTCGAAATAGTCATAGTAGTTTTCACCCACCCATCTGGCATCCGTATAGTAGTAGTAATAGTAGTAGTAGTAGTAGTAGTAGTAGTAGTAGCAGTTTTTTGTCACCCACCTAGTAGCAATAGTAGCAGTAATCGTAGCAGTAGTAGTAGTAGCAATATTAGATGTAGCAGTATATAGTCGTAGTAGTAGTAGTAGTAGTAGTAGTAGTGGTAGTAGTAGTAGTAGTAATAGTAGTAGTAGTGGTAGTAGTAGTAGTAGCAGTAGTAGCAGTGGCAGTAGCAGCAGTAGCAGCAGTAGTAGTAGTAGTAGTACTACTACTACTACTACGACGACTACTACTACCAGTACTAGTAGTCTAGTAGTACTAGTACAGTAAAAGTACCGTAGTCGTAGTAGCAGGAGTAGTAGGAGTAGCGATAGTAGCAGTAGTAGTGGTAGTAGTGGTAGGAGTAATCGGACTAGTAGTAGTGGCAGCAACAGCAGAAAGTATCAGCACTATTCGGGTCAGCTGTTGCTGATGCTGATGACGACGACGATGAACGCGACCGCCGACTGTGTCTTTGCTTCATCATCAAGCCGCAAATCTCAAGCTATGGCTTTGGGTGTGCTGCTGCATCGCGCAATGTGGGCTTAGGATTTGTACAACTGCAGAATGATAGCATGTGCTCTGCAAGTCTTCTTTTAGCCCCATGTCTGCTACGTACATGCATACAAACTCAAAAACCGATGAGAAACATCGCCAACCCCATTAACACAACTGGAACGCAGGCCTGCCTGAGGTTCCAAGGGGCTCGCATGGTTGTTCGAAATCTTCTGCTGGAATCTGGGCGACCGCACACATCGTTTGTGGAGGCTCATCTAATATGTATTCATACATCCACATGTATGTGCTCATGAGGTTCTGTACACATGCACGAATAACAAAGGTAAAGACCCACCAATGTAAATGCAACCTCAATCGCACAAACAAAAAACAATAAACATTCCACATGGCAAACAAACAGGAGGAAGAAACCCGGACGAAACAAAACATATCATGAACAAACGTATATACTACGTGGATATAAATATGCATACACATGTGTATTATAGATGTAAATTATATATATATATATATATATATACAATCGTTTCCCCCTCTCGCACCTTCCGGTGCTGCGATGCTACCAGAAAACACCAGTTGTTTACACCTACACATAGGTGTGTACAAATATATGTATATACACGTGCATATGTGCACATAGACAAAGACTACTTGAACATGTATGCATGTGTGTCAAGATATTTGTGTGCGTGTGCATATGCATATATATATATATATATGTACAAATACAACAGATTTATTTGCATGTACGTGCATCTAAACATACATATAAGCGTACATATAGAGGCAGTTAATATATTTGTTTTATAACAATAAGGTGATACATATGTATATACGTTCAAACTATATATACATATGTATATATATATATATATAGATATATAAATATTTGGCGGTGGTTCTGTACCATCATATACTCTGGGATTTGTGCTACCCACCCTGGGCCCTCAGTTGCCGCTCCGTTACAGCTTCCGTTACAGCTCCGTTGCAGGTCCGTTACAGCTCCGTTGCAGGTCCGTTACAGCTCCGCTACAGCTTCTGCTGCAGCTCCATTGATTGAAGCTCCGTTACAGCTTTCGTTACAGCTCCGTAGCAGGTCCATTACAGCTCCGTTGCAGGTCCGTCACAGCTCCGTTACAGCTTCTCCTAAAGCTGCGTTCCAGCTCCGCTACTGCTTCCGTTACAGCTCCGTTGCAGGTCCGTTACAGCTCCGTAGCAGGTCCGTTACAGCTCCGCTGCAGCTTCGGCTACAGCTCCGTTACAACTCCGTTACAGCTTCCGTTACAGCTCCGTGGCAGGTCCGTTACAGTTCCTTTGCAGGTCCGTTACAGCTCCGCTACAGCTTCGTTACAGCTTCCGGTACAGCTCCGTTGCAGGTCCGTTACAGCTCCGTAGTAGGTCCGTTACAGCTCCGTTACAGCTTCTGCTCCAGCTCCGCTACAGCTCCGTTACAGCTTCCGTTACAGCTCCGTTGCAGGTCCGTTACAGCTCCGTTGCAGGTCCGTTACAGCTCCATTACAGCTTCTGCTACGGCTTCGGTAGACAGCTCCGTTCCAGCTTCCGTTACAGCTCCATTACAGCTCCGTAGCAGGTCCGCTACAGCTCCGTTGCAGCTTCTGCCGCTGTGTTACAGCTTCCGTCTCAATTCCATTACAGCTCCTTTACAGGTCCGGTACAGCTCCGCGACAAATCCGTTACAGCTCCACTACGTTCCGTTACAGTTTCTGTTGTAAGCCACGTTGCCGGCACGGAGTCGCCAGGGTGTGTGTCATAGTAGAGGCCTACAAATGATGGTAGAGAACACCCCCAAATGTATATGTATGGTTGCGCCCCGGCGGGCCCTCTCCATTTGCTGTTCCGTGAGCTTCCTGTGGAATGGTTGGATGGTTTGGTCTAAGCCTTCCGCAATGGCTGTGCGTGTGATCATCCTCTGCCCCTTTATGTGGAACAGCAAGGGTCTTGACCTTCGAACATGAGCTGCCTTATGTAGCGATAGGTCGTGGCATGTCAAGGTTGCAATACGGGGATCCGGCGATTCTGATGTTGAGCAAGCACAGTCGAGTGAGACTACCAGCAAAGTACCTGGAGAGACTCGGAGGCCTTGTGGCTTTCGCCACTGCGACCTTTCATCTTTTTTGGAAACTCCGTTGGTGTTTTCCTTCCTGTAAAGTTTACGGTGCGGGAGCTGCTTCCATGATTGAAGGTGCTTTACAAAAGAGCAAAATCGGCATTCGTTGGCCAGCTGTTGGCCAGGATTGCCGATAGCTACTGCGCCAGCGAAAAAGGGTGCTCACGGAGAACGGCATGCTGGCCTTGGCGATGTATTGTACCATGCCTCCTTCCACACATCCCACTTGGTTTTCCGAATCTTTGAAGATGACGACGTCGTGAAGTCGAGGTAAAAGGGATACTTTCAGGAACCGCGTGAGAGATCTTGGTTAAAAGGCATGATCGTCTGATCCACGTCGCTTTGCTGTCTGCCGCTCCGCTTAAGTTTAGCCCTTTCCTCTAACCTTACCCATCCATCTTACCCCTGATTTGTTGAGCATGCTGTCAAACTTGTTCCTGAAGTCTTGCAGGAACTGCGAGACGATGGGAATGTTCTTCTCGCTGAGGTGGACCGTCAATTGGCTTTTATCTGGTTGGGAATACGCCCACATAACATATTCATCCGTATTCTTCTCTGTTAAAGCATGATCAGGCCAGGATTGTTTGAACATCACGCTGTTGTCCTTGGCTACGTCATAGCTGCTTTCAACAAAACAACTGTCACACAGTCCCATAATGAAATCTGCGGCAAAATGCCTTTCTGTCTGGTGTTACTGTCGACACATTCGCCGAATTTAGGCACAACGTTGTCCCACGAGCTTTCTTCACGATCGTTGATGAAAATTTTTCCTTGAGCTCGCTTGAACCAAGGTGCGGTTTCTTACCGAGGTCAAGCATCTTGGATCTTTGTCATTCCTATGTCACTGTTATCATGGTGATTGGCGAAACACCGTCCCCACATGTTTGATGAGCAAAGATCCAATCCGTGTAATAATTAATTGTTTGACACACCGGCTTTCTATGCCACCTCCTTGATGAAGCGTTCACGAACTGGAAGTCTGGCTGCCCTGCCCGATTAACTGCGTCATTTGTGGTTGCGCGAAATTGAATCCAACTTCGTATGACCATCTCTTTCTTCGCCTTATCTCTGGAAGCCTCTGCGTGCTGAGCGCACAGGTAGGACGCCACTACCTTTGCGGGTTTTGGCTCTTGATGGATCTCCTTAGGCTTCTGATTCATCAAGTCACCAAGAAAATTTCTTTTTTTCTTCTCATTATCCTCTGTCTCTGCTACTTTTCGTCTCTGTAATGCGGGTTCAGGCGTGATGCCGGACGGCACATGTTTTCCCTTCACGTTTACTCGCTTCTCTACGTGATAAGGAACCACCTTCACTGAATGCGACCTCGAACTCATGCTTCATCTACATATATGCAGGGATATGTACATCTGACATCCGTGTATACATGCACGCATACGCATGCTGCCCCTTAAACGTACATTTGTTAACCCTCGCGCTTGAGCAACATACGCGAACACACGTTTTTACGCACCTGCATTCACATATATGCATGTACACTAACACACACATGTATATATATATATAAATTTA